CGGAGGAGGCCGGTGGATGCCGCGGTAACGGCTATGGTGCCAGGCAGACGACTACTCCCATATAGTACTGAAGCGGGATACCGTATACGGCTCCCATGAGCAATGTGATGGAACGCCATTAAGCTCGAGACTGCAAAGGAACTGCCAAAAGCAAAGACGACGCGTAGAGTCTATTACCACCAATGAGAGGTAACGTGTGAGCGGAGAATAGAAACAGCCCCGCAATGCCTGCAGGCTAGCAATGTTGCGCCCAGCAGCTGTACGATCTATAGATGGCTGACGTCAACAGGCAAACATGTGGAGTGCGAGCAGGAGCAGGGAGTGGAGTGTGAGATGTTGGCGCAGGATGCATGGTCGCGTGCATTGATACCAATGGGGAAGTCGGCGATCCCGGCGCGTCTTTTCGGCCGTCGCCAGAGGAACGCGACAGCAAACAAGTTCGCGTCACAAATCCACGCATAACGAACTTTCGGCCCAACTCCGAACATAACTCGATCCAGCAGACATGGCGGATATCAGCGCAGAGTTGACGTCGGAACTGACAAGGATCATCGAGTGTCCATACCCCCCTTCGCTATCCGTACGTATTTGCCCCTCATCTCCCCCAACATCCAATGCATCCTCATGTCGTGCCACTAGCCAACTCCCGTATTTGTGCACATGACTCGCTGCAGGAGCAGCGCATCGTTGATGAGATGAGCTGACGCGAGATCCCACAGAACCTATCCGATCTTTTGGCGCGCGTCGACGTACCGACTATCCGATCATGCGTCCAAGACCGGTCACCTTGCGCGGTGAGGAAACTAGGCAGAATCGTCCACGATGCACTGTCTCTGAACGCATACACGCTTCGTGTGCTGCACCTATTGTGTAAGCAGTTGACCGGTCTCCGCTTGATAGCAGAAACGCAATCAAACTGACTACGTGTTCCCAGGTCATGCGCCAGAATTTCGAGATGAGCTACTGGTCCTGGAACCGTCCTTACTCCCTTCTCTGTTGAAAAGGGCAAATTCATCAAAGTCCGAATTCGAACATGTGAGTACGAGAATTGTAAGGTATATCACTTACTAATAATGATATAGCTTGCCGAGCTATGTGCGCTTCTTCTCTCTCGCCCACTGCCCGAGGCAATACCATTACCCGCCGTAGCACAAAACTTCTTTCTTAATGTCTTCGAAAACGCCACACAGCAACCAAACTACGAGACCCTGAAGTCAGTGTACCGTATGCTCAACGGTGCATGTCGTCGACTTTACAGCCTTCTTCCCAGAGATCTGAGGCAGCGGTTCGACACAGAGTTGTGCAACATACTCAGATCCCCGAAAGTCGCCGATTCCTCTTTGCTGTTTTTGTGGGCAGAAGGTATAGTGCTCATCACGGAACATCCCGTGGGGGTCGACGGACTGCAAAATCCGCCTGGTGACGAGGAGCCGACATCCACCGAAAGGCTAAGACAACATTGGGCAACACCTTCAGGCCAAAAGCTGTTCGGCTCGACAAGCTACTTATACAAGACTATTGAGCTCACTTGTTTGAACGTAGTGTGGATTCTTCGAGGCGGAATCAAGGAAAATGAAGCAATCGAAGGCCTACGTATTGCCTCGAGGGCTATGCAATTCATTGGCCAAGACGTGAAAGACAATTGGCCTCAAGTTCAGAAGAAGTATGCCATGCTGTACGAAAAGTGTGCCTCCAAAATCCAAAACTCCAGTGCGAGTCTATCCGTCCAATTAGAGGCCCTGTCATTCTTTGGCATACTTTCAGGTTCTCAGAGCTTGCCGCAAGGTATCGTCATACGCTACGAGGCATGCATATTGGAAGCCCCTCGCGTGGCAGAGCCTGAAGGCTTTGCCGAGCTTCTTGCAGTCTCACTGCCAATCTACGCAGTAAGCAATTCATTCTGTAGTACTGGCTGGTTCACTAACCAGGGCAGGTGCAGATGCAGGAAAGCACCGTCGCGGCACTCTTATCAGGCATTTTATCAGCATGTGCTTCGCAGCCTGACTCCCGCGAAACTTCCAACTCCATCGACACTATCGATGAGCTGGCCACAGCCGCGATGGCGAATGCTGCTTTACGAACCACTGTGCTGCGCGCACTGTCATCGAGGGCCTTGCAAGAGAAAATCCAGAACCTCATTCGTACTGGTATGACGAAAGAAGGCCCCGGCTGCTGTACACATGCTGCATTATTCCGTCGGCAATTGATCGCTGCCACAATCGCTTCATTACTTATCATTGTTCTTATGGCGCAACCGGGAGAGTCGACGATACCGCATACCCTCGTGGCTGCGCTTATCAAGAAACAGCGAGACCTTCCCCCCGCGCTAGATACTTGCTCACACTCGTCGAAAAGCCCCACTCAGCCTTCAATCTCCCTCTTCCAAGAAGCAAGCACGCAGTACACGGGCCAACATCTCCAGGATTGGCGCAAACGCCTCGAATTGGAGCTACAGAGCCAGAACAAACATCAGCGAGATGCTGTTGTGCGCTCTATGGCACAAATATGCAGTGATCTCGAGACACGCTGCAATACAGTCGAAGAGCCCCTACGTGTGGAGACAGAGAAGTCCGCCAAACTCCAGGAACAAGTCGCTCATCTAAACGAGAAGATCGCCCATCTCAACGAGCAAACCGATTTTCTACACAAGGATAGAGAAGAATCTGTGGAATACGTCGAGGGGTTGGAGAAGGAATTGCAGGATTCCATAGACGAGCAAAAGCGTCTGGAGCAAGAGAAGTCCGACTTGTTGGAAGAAAAGGGCCGGATGTACTCCAAGATACAGGAAGTGGAGACCTCTCTGGAGGTGTCAGAGCGGAACGCGACCGAAGCTCTCAAGGCCGCTCACGAAAGTTCTAGCGTAAAGGAGCATGAACTCTGCTCGACGATACGCCAGTACGAGGAGGACAAGCGCGTCCGCGATGAACAGGTTGAGGAGCTGCATGGTACCATTAGCCAGCTGCAAGCATCTCAAATGCAGCACGAGACCGACTATCGCAGCCTCACCGCACAGTTTGAGGAGCAGCAGAAACGCAGCCGTGAAGCAGAGGACACGCTTGAACGGGAGCGAGCGAATACTGCCCGTCAAGCCGAAAAGATCGCACAACTCGAGACTCAAGCGTCAGAATACCAGCAAGATCTGGAAGCGAAGGAAGCGGAACTAGAGGATGCCATTCGACAGCTTCATATTGCGCGGACTAGTTACCAGGAGTTCAAGGAATCATCGGCTGAAACGACGAGAGAGCTTGCGGTGAAGCACGCCAACGATCTGGAGGCTATCACCATGAAGGCTGAAGAGCGATACGAGACGCTCGAAGCGCGGCTGCTAGATGCCCAGCGCAACGCTCAAGAAGAACGACATGATCACGGAAAGACGCGTAACAATCTTCAGCATCTTCAAGCATCAGTACCACCACTAGAAGCGAGGATTCAAGAGCTCGAGGAGTTTTGCAGAGAGCAAGAAGAAGAACTTGAAGAATTCAGGACGGCTCGCAAAATGATGGCGATGCATCTGTTGCCTGCTAAGCCAGCCTCACGAACCTACAAGGAGATTGCTCAGCCCCAAACGACAAGAGAGCCGCGAACTCACCGACGACGTAAGTCAGCCATCAACACCCAAGAGGATGTTTCAGTCGCCACGGTGAATGCCCAAGTATTACCTAACAGAGCTCTCGGAAACTCTACAAATGCGTCCTTCGCCTCATCAGCCGATTCGAATTCGTCCCAGGGTAACGGACCAGCACCAAAGCGTGCCAAACCAAGGCCAGCTTTCAAGGTGCCAACGATGCAAACGCCAAATAACCAGAAGCCCAGCATCGCATCCAAGTCACTCTCACACTCACATCAGCTGTCGCCGACCAAGCGTTCAGCTCTGAGACCAGTCTCGCCGAACCGCCGCCACACGACTGTCGGGTTCACATTGCCCGGCGGCGAGGAAGAAGACGCCGCGACCGAGATTGAGTCAGTGAGGAAACGTAGAGGCAGCCTTCAGGACATCGAGCAAGTCGATTTTGACATCGACGATGATTTCACGACCGGCACACCACTTACCCCGGGCTTTATGTCTGGTACTGGCCGCATTCCGGACGAGGGTGACGAGACCATGACTGAGTTGTGAGTACGAAAGTATGATTTACGATGGCATTCTGGTGAGGGTAGGGTAACTGCTGTTTGTTTCATACCCGGGGTACGAAGGCTTTGCGCATTTGGCACGGGTACTTGCATGCATGGCGCAGGGGGCATATGATGATTTTGGAGATACCCAATGGCGTATCCTTACTTGATGTCGCGACTCTACCTTTACCTGCTGTTAGTTTTACCGCATGGCTAGCGTTCTTCTATTCGCTGGACTTAGGTGTCCTCTCAGTCTCTCTATTTGACGTCTTCTTTGCTCTTAGTACCTTACGGCTACGTGCATCTCTCAAGCGTCTCTTAGTCGATCGTCGTCATATCAGCCATAAGTTCCCATCTTCTTACGCTGCTCTCCGTTTGCACCTTCCCATCTTAGCACATGCACGCATTCGAGTAAGAGCAGACCCCGCGCCTTCCTCACACGATCAGTCCTCCTCCACTTTCCATCTACCTCCCTGCATCTACAGGCTGCCACACCCATCTCGTTCATCTAGAACTTATTCTCGGCTGTTTCGAGGTCCAGCTTCCAGATTCTCAGCCCGACGTTAGCACACAAAACATCAGGCACGCGTGTCGCGACTCGCTCCTGCCCCTGCCGAATCCAGAGCGCCTCTAGACAAACGGCTGTTTGACTGCCCAAATCAAGCAAACAAAATTCTCCATCCTCCATCCTTCCATTCCAATCACCCCACACAGGTACGGCCAGCACATCCAAGCAGAGCCTCTGGTCAGCCGCTTCGGCACCGCTACATTGCCCTTTCCTGAAGCAGCGGTCACCTCCGATTAGCCAGCCGTCCCCGCGCCACCACCGCTACCCTATCGTCATTCCCCAAGGATTGGCGTGAGGGCAAGTACGTTCACAAACAAACATGAACCGCTACCTTCATGACCCAGATCCCATGGGCTCAACTCCTCCTGCATTCAACACCAGCACCCCCACATCATCACGATCGTACACGCTGAACCGAGAACCAGTTCAGCACAGTGAGCAGAAATCTGAGACCAGCTCCAATAGTGAGAAATCCTTCGGCAGCCGCAACATGTATCGTGGTAATCAACGCGGTGGTCGTGGCGAAAATCGTGGTGGTAGAGGTGGCAACCGCACATACTCTGGCAGTTCCGGTAGCTCTAACGGCCAGTACAACCCTAACCGACCAACTCTCAAGCCCGCGTCGGCATCTCAGTCCTCTCAAGCTCCACGCACTCCCATGACAACTATGGAGCAGGTCCCAGCCCGCGTAGACCCACCAGTTACCCCGGTCAAACAGCTCTCCACTTTCGACTTGAACGGCAACAGCATCAACGAGACCTACATCGCGAGAGCTAGTACCACCCCGACACTATCTCCGGCAAAATCATCGATCATAAGCCCACCAAGACAGGCTACTCGAGCGTCTCCTCAACATGGAGGTAATCGCCCGCGCTACAACTCAGCTGGTCAGCCTAGTTCACAGAGGTCAATCTTGAGGAATGAAGCCCAGCATTGGGCCCATCGCCAGGAGGTCAAGATCAAGTTGGCAGGTATACCCAAGAGCTACTGGACGAAAGACGTGTATGACGCATTGTCGTCATTTGGTTCTCTCTTCAGGATTGAAATGGTCACCGGCGCCCGAGACAACTCCGCTTTCGTGGTATTTCGGTGAGTATTGTTTCCGTCCACACTTCATCATTCTAACCTCATTCTTATAGACCTCCCCCCGTCCATGCCTTTCCGCATCGGAACCTACGAATTGGCGGTGCTCTCCTAGGGATTGAGACACTCTCTCCACAAGTCAGGACCGTTCCGAGCCCAGCCAATCCCGCAAAAGAATACTACGAATTCAACGTCCTACCTGTGCAAGGCATAGACTTCGGCGTCAACGTGGCAGATAAGACTATGATTGCCATGCATACCTTGCGATCACCGGGCAGTATTTACATGACGCTGAACCTGATTCGCAAAGAGCTTGACGTTCAGTTCTCGGTCGATATCGACAACGAGATGCGCAAGGTTCGCTTTGCTTTGCCAATTGCTCTACTCTCCCATGTATACAAGGTCACCGACACAGCCAGCGATCAGCAGGCTTTGATCATTCCGTTTAACTCACCGCCGCAATTCTACATGCAGCGACGTGAGGGTGAAAACCTGGAGGACGGGAAGAAATTCTATACATTTTCTAGGAAAGATAAGGCGTGGTATGACTGGAGCACCTGGTTCCGAGCGACCGATATCATCAGCAACACTGTCAAGAGCAAGCTCCAAGGCTCACCGTTGATGAACCATAAGGATACCGCTATCATCGACATTGGTAAGTCGCACACACACTTTCATCACTGATCGTTGGCTAACTAATTCAGGCCGATGGACGAGTTATCGCATGATCTTCGACGCGACAGTAATGACTGGACCCAAGTTCAAGGACTTCAGCGATGCTCTCACCGACCATGGCGTCGCCATTGAGAACCTGGACGAGTACACGATCCAAGACATGGCCCCATCGCCTCTATGGTCACTGCTACAAGAAGAGATATCTGGTACACATCCACATCTTGAGTCGACACCCTCAAAGGGTTCGGTCTTTGAAGATCTCTTCGCTGGCCAGTTTCATCTGAGCTTTCCCGTCCGGTACCAACTCGAGGCGTGTCTATCGAACGGCTATTTGAAGGAACACAACATCACGAGCGACTTCTTGGAGAAGCTCACAGCGATGGAACCTCGCCGTGCCGTCTACATCTTGGAGAAAGTCGTCGACAAACAGCATGTTTACTACGATCCAATGGACATATTCGGCATTCGGGTCAAGGACCTTGCGAAGAAAGTCCCCAGCTACTGCACCCTTCAGCGATCGGTGGTAATCACCCCAACCATGATGCATGTGTCATCTCCTAACATGGAGACCTCGAACCGCATCATCCGCAAGCATGCTGCTGATGGCGATCGTTTTATTCGAGTCAAGTTCTCCGACGAGAAGACAGAAGGTCAACTGCGCAATATGCCCAACGGACGGGCTGAAGCTGCGTTCGACAGGGTACGTCGGGCCATGAAGTATGGCATCGTCGTCGCCGGAAGATACTATGAGTTCTTAGCATTTGGCAACTCACAGTTTCGCGAGCATGGGGCATACTTCTACGCGCCTACTTCTTCCAAGTCCGCCGACGACATCCGCATCTCACTGGGCAACTTCGACCACATCAAGACCGTCGCCAAGTTTGGTGCTCGTCTCGGTCAATGCTTTTCAACCACTCGCGCAATGCGGGATAACGTTAAGGTTATAACAATTCCCGACATTATACGTAACGAATATACATTCACAGACGGTGTTGGCAAGATCTCACAATTCCTAGCCCAGATGGCTGCCCAGGAACTCGGGCTTGCCCGCGCCTTTGATGACCCACCGTCTCTGTTCCAGTTTCGCCTTGGCGGCTGCAAGGGGGTGCTTGCCCTGGATCCGAAGATCACTGGTCCTGAGGTTCATATAAGGCCCAGCCAGATGAAATTCGTGGCACCCTACACCGGTCTGGAGATTATCCGGTCCTCATCTCTTGCCACACCATTCTTCAACCGTCAGATCATCGTAGTCTTGTCATACCTTGGCGTACCCGATTCTGTGGTAATCAAGAAGCAACAAGAGATGATCAATGACTACGAGACCGCGATGGTAGACGATGGCGTTGCCTTGCAGAAGCTTCGAAAGCACATCGACATGAACCAGACTACGTTGACCATCGCAGGTATGGTCCTCGATGGCTTCATGAAGTCTCAAGATCCATTTGTCATGTCTCTTCTCAAGCTTTGGAGGGCTTGCACCATCAAGAACCTCAAGGAGAAGGCTCGCATAGCCATCGATGACGGCGCGTTCGTACTTGGTTGCGTTGACGAAACAGCAACACTCCGAGGCCACATGAATGGCCTCCAGCTTGATGCTACGAATGAAGAGAAGCTCGCTACTCTCCCCGAAATCTTCCTGCAAGTCGACGATACAAGCAGAAAAGGACACTACAAAATCATCCAAGGAGTATGTGTCCTGGCGCGAAACCCCTCACTTCACCCGGGAGACCTACGAGTCGTTCGAGCAGTAGATGTACCAGGATTGCATCATCTGAAGAACGTCGTGGTGCTGCCACAGAACGGCGATAGAGATCTTGCCAACATGTGCTCTGGCGGTGATCTCGATGGGGACGACTACATGGTACTGTGGGATCCAGATTTGATACCCCAGAACATCAACATGCCTGCCATGGATTTCACAGCCGAAAAGCCGATTGAGACCGACGATCCCATTACGGCCGCGCACATTGGCGAATTCTTCGTCAGTTATATGAAGAATGATACACTCGGGCAAATCGCGCACGCCCATCTAGCACACGCTGACCGCCAAGCCGATGGGGTCAACGACGACAAGTGCCTCGCTTTGGCGGAGTTACATTCCAAAGCCGTCGACTTCCCGAAGAGCGGTTTGCCCGCTGAGATGACGCGGGAATTGAGACCACACATGTGGCCACATTTCATGGAGAAGAAGCACCTCCCAGATTCTAAAATCTATCATTCAAGAAAGGTCCTAGGTATCCTCTACGACCAAGTGCAGTTGGTCGACTTCAAGGTAAGTCGTGGTCGTACGAAATGCGTGTGAGACATTGACTGACTTCGTATCTCCATCTTTGTAGCCTCAATGGGAGAATCCATTCGATAAGCGCGTCCTAGAGGCCTTTGAGCTCGGCGATGAGACTCTAGCCAAAGCCGCAGGACTCAAGGCGTCGTACGATGAATCGTTGCGGCGATTGATGGCCAAGCATGGTATTCAGACCGAATTCGAGGCCTGGTCTGTATTCGTCATAGTTCACAATCATGAGGTAAGTTCTGACTGTACGAGATTGATGAAACATACTGACCTCGCACCCTTGCAGAGCCGAGACTACAAATTCGCAGAAGAGTTTGGTAGAACTATTGGAGCCTTCAAGTCTCAGTACCGAGACGAATGCCGGGCCGGTGCAGAAGACAACCTGGAGAAGTTTGTCGCCGCGATGTATATGGTGACTGCGAAAGAGATGGAGACTGCATTGGTCGAATGCCGTACGACGAAGACAGTTGGTGGTAGGGACGTTCCGGTGCGACCTATGGAACCGGAGCACATGCCTTTGATCTCATTCCCGTGGCTCTTCCCAAACGAATTGGGGAAGATTGCGACCGGCGGCGCAACCACGCGACAGCTAGACGTGCAGCAGAACGTCGCGACCCGGCCCAAGAAGCACCCTGTATCTTCCACGCTGGCAGAGGTTGATACAGAGATCGGTGTTGTTGAGACCGAAGCAGGTATTACGCGTTACGGAGAGTTGCTGGACCTGGATTTCAGCTTGTAAGGATGGATGGGGTGGTGCAGAAGATATGAGGACGATAAGGAGTACGAGGAGGAAGCTTTCCAAAAAGTGTGGTTGAAGACTACGATGGTAGTTTTGAGGGCAAAGCAACATTGACAGCGGACCGAGGAGGATACGGCGTGCGCGACAGGTGCAGAAAAGTTTGGCGGGTGTTTCTGGCTGGCGGCCTTACGATGGACTGGCTTATGAGGTTCGTGTTATCCGAGAGGAAGCGCATGCGGGGTTGTTTGCCATGAAAGTAGAGAAAATGACAAAAAAACGTAGAAAATAGAAAACTTAAGTAGGCTTCTCGACATTGGTGGTGATCTCTCGTTTCCAGAAAAACGAGCCATGATGACGACGACGGCGGGTATCGATAAGCTGCACACTACTCGCAACTCATAATTTCCACTCGGTGCCCGCGTCACGATGCCACCCTCGACGCGTATCCCAGCGCTTCTCCAACCCTGCGTCCAACTACCGCACGACTCGATCCTCCTGCTCACGAGCACCCTCGGCGCGAGCGCGAACTGGCTGCTCATCCGCTTCCTCTGCAATGAGCTGAGCACACAAGATGGCGGGGACGAGGGGCACAACGTCGTCCTCGTCTCTTGGATGAGAGAATACGACTTCTGGAAGCAGGAGGCGCGAAAAGGCGCAGCGCTTGATCTGGACAAGCTGAGGAAAGAGGGACGCTTTGCCTTTGTTGATGGACTGGGTGCTGGTGGGAATGCGCCAGACAGTACAGCAGAGAGACCATCGCGAACCGATGCGCAAGCAACACCACGAGTCCCGGTATCGAATGCGACACCACAGAGAGGGCCACAGATGTTGCCTGCGCGAGGACCGCCTGGACGGATAGTGCCTGCGAGAGGGCCACCTCCATCCGCCCCAGCGGCGGCGCCAGCTACATCACTAGCTACGACCATCGCGAACGGCCCGGCGAGTACAAACCAAAGCGTCCCCGGCCACTATACGCTCAAGAGCCTCGAGATCGCAGACATCAAGTCTACCATCTCCAGCGCCATCTCCCCACTCGCTACGTCTACCGCCCGAAAGACGCTCCTCATCTTCGATAACCCCGATCTCCTCCTCGCACTCAACCCTACCATCACGCCCTCCCACTTCACCACCCTCATGCTGCACTTCCACACGCTTCCGAACGTTTCCCACATCCTTACGCACCTACAAGCCGACAACCCGCTCCTCAGCCTCTCCACACCCCCACAGCCGCTCGAAGTAGCGCATCATAACCTGGTTGTCAAATGCGCACACATGAGCCGGAGGATACTGGGTGTCAGAGTATTAGACACTGGCGTTGCGAGGGACGTAAGCGGCGTAATACGCATTACTGAGCAGAGGAAACAGTGGTTTGATGTGGGCTTTGGCATTGAAGCTAACAAGGATGGCGACGACAGTGGGAGAGGCAAGGAGTTCTTGTATCAGGTCAAGAGCGACGGCAGCGTAAGGGTGTTCGAGCGTGGTGCTGGAGGAGAAGGCTAAGGTCTACATCTCAGGCTTGACGAGCAATTCGTGCATCTGCACCCCTCGTTGACGCTGCAGGATCATCGCCTCTCTCCGCGGATGCAATGCGCAGGAAGGTGTATATATAGTCGTCTCGGCTACATAGCATGCTCCAAGCCACGCAATGGAAAAGACCCACACATGATCAATTCTTATCATCAGCTGTCGAATACCTCAGGCTAACTCCTACGTTACTGCAACAGAACTACGCGAGCCTCGCAGAACGCTGCATCTCGTGCATGTCTGCATGCAGCGACCGACGAATACGGACGCGGCTCCTGATATCACCCGCCGCCCCCCGGCCCCGAATCCTCCTACCTGGGCACCCAATCCTCCGCGCGCGATCATCGGCGAGCGACTGACCAACGGTGCACCGGCGACTCCGAACTTCGCGCTGCCATGCAATCAATACAACACAACTATTATGATCCTGCTGCAGTGATACAGCCACGCCGCCCGCGAGGCCCATGCCATCACACACCTATGCCTTGTGACGACGAACAACAAACTCGATACGAGTTCCGCAGTTCATCCCCAACACCAGCGCATGCGGCTATATACAAATATGCAGCCAGATCCTTCGCACTGCACGCTCTCTATAACTAGAAAGGTTGACGACGTTCAAAGCGGGCTACCCTTACCTAACCGATGCCATTCCATCAGGGTGGATTTGGGGGCGCCTTACACAGCAGCATGCGGCACAGTTGCCTCGTCCAATCAGTCATGCTCGACGCCACGACGCGGCCTCCCGGGGTCAAACGTTTGCTTCAAACAAGGTGACAGGGACCATTCGGCGAGAAAGAATAAGCGCTGTGATGATGATGGGCAGGAAGGAAGGCAGAGGAGGAAGATGCCGCTTGTGTAAGACATGCGTGACGTGGAAGTATATATGGTTTAGAGTTTCGCTGCTGACAGCAATGGCACCGAGATGTCTGCCTGCTACTAAAATCTATCTATTCCTCAGCCTTGGACTTGAAGGATTGCACTGTTCTTTTCAGCTTCGATCAGTCAATCTTACCTTACCTTACCTCTCTTCCATCAACCCGGACAAAACAACTCCAACAATGTCAACCCCCCACCTCCTCGACCTCCCCATAGAGATTCTCAACCACATACTCACCCCCCTACCCACATCCTCCCTGCTCCGCTTCTCAGAAACATCTCGTCACGCCCGCATCCTCGCCAACGCCAACCTGCACACTCTCTCTTTGGGAATCGCGCCCCTCGCTCCTGCCTTTTTCAAATACCTCGACCCGCCCGTCACCACCAGTACAGCCAATCCCTATGAAATCTGGCTACGCATTCCCCAGGCAAGAAGTTACGAGTACCTGACGTTGCATAACTTCCAGAGCGCGTTGGTGGCCAGTATACTCAAGCGCCATGGCACCATGCTGCAGCATCTCAACATCAGTGTTTGGGCATTGACGTTGCCCATGGCGAAAGCTATTAAGGGTCTACGCGCTCTCCGCACCTTTTCACTCAGAATCGAAAGCGGAGTAAGATACGTACGCGGTATCCCGCGGTCGCGTATCGCTATCGAACGAGAAGAGCAGGGTAAGGCTTGGGAGTTGCTTACTGAGAGTGCGACCGAGTGGAAAGGGAGACTCACGACGTTGAGGTTGGAGAATTGTGATGTGGGGGCTGAGCAGTTGGCTGTGCTGTTGAAAGAGAGTAGGGGATGTGAGGAGCTGGCGTTGAATCGGTGTCGGTATCTGGGGAGGGAGATGTGGGCGGCCCTGGGCGAGTGGGAGGAGAGGGCGAAGTTGAAGATGTTGGATGTAGCGGAGTGTGGGGGGTTGCTTGGGGATGAGGCGAGAGAGGTGGTGGGAGGGTTGGATGGATTAGAGGTACGTCGCTCTGTATACTTGCTGACAGATGACACCTGTATGCTAACACCAAAGCAGACTCTCAATCTTTACGATTGTCAAGAACAGCGACCTGGAGAATTTGAGCGTCTAAATGAGGAACTCTGGCATATCAAAGACTTTACAGCACCGAGACCAGGTGGTTACGGCGAGAACATGATCATCGAGGTGGATCCGGACTACATCTTTTGAGAATAGGAAGTCAAGGTGGAGTTTCAAGAGTAAAGTGTTTCAATTGTTTATATGAGCAAGCAAGGAATCGCAACGACGTGAGCGTCGAAGACCAATCGTTCCAGCTGCCACTGTTTGTCTATATACGTATAATCTCTCGTGCGGCACCACTTGGGTATAACCCTCACTGATCGATCCATCTATTCAAGCATCCACTGCCCTGCCTATTCGTCGACAGCTCCATCAATCCATGTATCCTGACCACCAATCCAGCATCTCATCCACCTCAAAACTTCTCATACTGACTGTAATCCATGTCCGGGTGATGAAAAGGGCCGCGAACATAACCAGGAGGAGGTGGACCGAAAGAACTGCCCGACGACACGGAGCTCTGACTAGCTTCAACCCTGTGCTGAGCATCCTGGCTAGCGCGAGCGCGGAGGTACTCGCTGTACTCTGACACGCGCTGTTCCTTGATCTGCCACTGAGCAGCTGCCTTGAGCATCTCCTGGTGAGCAATGATATCCTCAATGGGCTGGTTGTAGTAGGCGGCCGTGTGCTCTTCGTAGTGGTGACCGGGATGGATCTGAGCTTGGTGTTCGGGGGAGTGCTGCATCGATGCTTTGCCTGTGAAGTGGTACATGTTGTTGGTGTTGGGCTCGGCGCCGGTGGACTTGGTGGCGTCTTCGGCTCCGACGGGCGTGGCTTTGGTGGGGCGGCTGACTTCGTAGTCGACGTCGCATATGGGAGCAGCCCTGCGTGCGTTGTTGCGGGCGTGACGTCGGGCAATGAACTTTTCTTCAGCGGACTTGGCGGCGAGGGCCTCGCGCAGCGTCTTCATCTTGGCTTGGCGGCGCGACAGCCTGGCCTTGACGACAACTTCTTCTTTCTCCAAGTCGAGCATGCGGCGGTACTTCGACTCCAAGTAAGCACCGATCATGGGCGGCGCCCAGTCCTGGACAAAGTTGAGCCCGAGGATTCCGTTGTAGACATCAGAGCTGTAGAGCTGCGACAACTGCTCATGCGCCTCCTCTGCTTTCATGTTCTTTTCCCTGACTTGGTGAACCAATTCGTGCCGGAGCGACTCGAGCCTTGCTTCGCGGATCGCATCGTCGAGCGCTTTGCCGCATGATGGGTTGTTTAGGACGTTCCAGTACTCAGACAGACTGTTGTGAAGCTCGGCGATGCTGGGGCCGCCTTCAGAGATGTCCTCAGACGCAACGTTGAAGCCACTGTCGATGCGGAGGTTCAACAACTGATGCATCTCCTGCATGCGTGCGACGAGCGCATAGTATATGTCCTCGTAGTCGGAGAGAGGGCGGTCGGTGGCCTCTTCGTCCGCACGCTCGTAGATGCGTCCGTGAATGCGCTCGGCAGTGAGAAAGCCGTGAGGCAACAGGCTTGGGCCAACCTGCTTCTTCTGCAGGCGGTCGAACAGAGTGC